GGCGCCTTGAGCGCAGAGGTAGGGGTCGCTCCCCGACAGAGAGAGAGAGAGAGAGAGAGAGCTCTGCCTCTTCTGCCAGAGAGAGAGAGAGAGAGAGAGAGAGAGAGAGAGAGAGAGAGAGAGAGCGAGTGCGCGATCTGTGTAAGATTCCGAACAGTTCCTGCCGTTATCCGACGATCTGTAGCAATTCCACTTAGGCTTGGAAGGCGGACCGGCAGTAGTCTGGGCTTGCCTCTGAATGCGGCCTTTTTGCTGGGCATGCAGGGCTGGTCCCCTTTTTTGATCATCCTGGTGAACGTTGCAGTCGTGTCCACGGCAGTGAAAAGCTATTGCCTCTGTTTCACTTCAACGACACCTCGAGCAGACAAGGCAGCGAAATCCGGAGGCAAAAAGCACTTAGGGACGGAGTCGGCTCGGATGGGCTCGGGCCGCTTGGGCCGGCACCAGATACTTCCTGTCAGCTCCCGAGCCGCGCTTCTCCACCTAAGCGGATGCAACACTGCGTGACTCGCTGCGTGCTGCTGTGCATTTTGGCTTACGGATATGGCAGTTCCAACGGGTGTCCACTGACCAATTGTGCACGAGCTCCGAACTTTGAAGAGCTGCGGCCACGCTTGAAGAAATGTCAGGAGTAGTTCCTCTGAGAAAGCCGGCATTGACACACATCATTAGGAATGGGCCTGTGCGAGATTCCGAGCAGCCGCTTGAAGTATCAGGGTTACAAGGGCAGAGCAAAGCTGCAAGTTCAGGGGTACTTGATGATACTTCGGGGCTGCCTGCTGCTGCCAGGGCCGCGTGGCACCCGTCGCCGCCGTCTCACAAAAGGAAGTGCACATGACATTTCCCACGATGCAGCCTTACGGTGAACTGAGGACGGGCACGAACAGCGGCACGGCTTGCAACAGCTCCGGAACTTCCAAAGGGCCCGCCTCTTGGTGTTTCTGAGTTGTCCCTGGCCTCTTACACAAGTGCCTAATCCAGTCCCTGCCTGCAGCGCTTGTCGCAGCCTCTCTTGCCAGGCTCCACTCTCCTACCGATGTTAAAAACACGACAGATCCAACTCCTTGCAGAAGAGCAGTGCAGCGAGCAGCTCCCGTCCTCTTGCTCTGGAGTCGGCTTGAGTGCGCCTCCGCCGTACTGGTACACCAAGGGTGCCTGAAAGCAGCCGCCTGACCACCTGCAAAGCCTCTTGCTACTCGGCCGCACTTTAAGAGCCTGTCGTTGAAACAGCCCTCGACAAATTAAATGCCACTGAGCTTCCGCCATCTCGTCGGCTTTCTGGATGACCTTCCAAGGCGCTTCGACAAGAATAGCATCTTCTGAAGTTCGGATGCATCTGTTTCAAAGGCCAGCCCGCTGACGAAGAGAAGACTGATGCTAAGACACCCACCTGGTGGTACGCAGGCTGCTTCTTCTGGTCTCCAGCCTTTGGAACTCTCAGCTGGGAAGGAGACGACACTCCTTTGAAGTCGGCATAGTCGCGAGCGAGGGCGGGTGGGCCTGCCTGCATTTTGGCTTTGGCCTTCTTCTGGTCGGTCACAGCCTACGAATCTTGATTGCACAACCCCATTCAGTCTTCGGTGCAGTCCTCCCACGCGAACAATCTCTTGCCACCGACTTTCTGCATCACACGTCGAACCCGCACAACCTTTGGAATTGTACCTGCGTCCTCGCGACGTACATCTCATTGTCTTGAGCACGGAGAAGGGTAAACAAAGCTTCATGCTGCTTTAGCCAAACCTGCCATGCATTCGATTTGTCATCTGAAGCTGCTAACGGCATGCATGCGGCATCGGTATAACATGACAAGCCAGTCTGCAGCAGGCACCTTGTTCACCGCTGAGATAGGCTTCGGGGCTTGTTGAGCCATCACCTTTGCAGGACACTGTGAAGAACTGGTGCAACATGTGATGTACCCCTGCAAAAATAAGACAGTTTCTCCCCAGCAGTGCCAAACCGTCCTTGTTTGAAGGATGGGGTCCACCACCCAGTGGGGCATTCAAAGCTAGAGGCCTCCTGCACCTAGATTCAGAAGCCTTGGACGAGCAGAGTACTTGTCTGCCAGCGTTTGCTAGCACGGATGCGTGGGCGCTTGTGGTGCCCCCTGTCTCCAGCATGCACGCATCTTCGAGCTCCTGCTGAGTCGTCAGACCTTGAAAGTCACAGCTCCGTCGAGGATCGGCCCCACATGCCATGTGAGCCGACGTGTGTTCGGGATCGGAAATTGCGGGATTTTGGCACGCTAGATTTCAGCCCTGCACAGAGACTCCTCAAAATGGATCTGTAACCGGTAAAGCACCGAAGAGACTAGTCAAGCCAGTTCACCGAAAGTGTCACTTGCAAGTGCGGACGTTTATCATGCCCAGCTGTCACAACCGACTCGCGGTGATCAGCCAGGCATGATGTGACTAGTCGAAACCTGCCCAAGAAGAAAGTCTTCGCCAGCATTCTTATGTTCGGAGAGTTGCGGTTATTGTGTGGAGCAGTTATGGTAGCGGCCATGCGACCTCCCGTAGATAGCGATCGTTGTTGATCTCGTTGATGTGGGCGATGTTGCCTTCCTTGCCTAAGTTGTCCGGCCCCATATGCTTTGGAAACGAGTCCCTCTGAGCTGGACCAAGCACGCGGCGGTCCAGAAAGTCCATCAGCGCTTCCTGAAATGTCACAGGGACGGAGGGCTGCCTACTCCCAGAAGTACTACTCAAGTCCCGGTACCTTTGCGTCCTTCAGAGCCTTTCAGACTCCACGGCCCACGCAGCCACTGTACATCTCTACAGTCTCTACATGGCTTGGTGCGCAGGTCGCTGACAAGCCTTCACGAGGCACAAAAGGTTCATGTGGGCCTGTACTCGTATTTACCCTTGTGGGCGAACACGTCATGGTGCCCGATGCCAGAAGTCGTAATCAGGGACCGCCAAGCAGCTCTCAATTGAGATGCTTGCATACAGCCAGCAGGGACTGTCGTCCCAGCCAGATCTAACGACAATCCCCTCACAATTCTCTCGCTGCGTACATTCTGCTTTGCACGCTTCAACTGGCAGGAACTCTGCAATGCTGTGGAGAGCCTTAGCGCCGTGACCGTCGTAGCAATTCAGACCTTCGCTCAGACTCCATCTGGAGCCTAGCTCGAAACGCCAGCATGTGTATCCAGCCACTCGCCGGGTCGCCTGAATGCCACCAGACCTTGTCCAAAGCTCGCAACGGCCATGCTTGCTATGCTCAATGCCGTTGCAGCTCTGAGTCACGGCGCACTTCTCTTTGCACTGGTTGAGATCGTACTTACCGACAGCTAGAATGTAGTACTTCGCGGAGTTATCATTCGCAGATCTTCCTCTGCATGCACGATCTGTACCACCATCTACGGCAACAAATGGCAATGGAGAAGCAGTTGTGGTCGGAGCCCCAATAAATCGCAGGCAGGTAAATCCACGTAGAAATATCGAGGCACGAATACCACCAGGCCGTGTCCATAACTCACATCTACCAGCGCTGTACTCTAGACCCTGGCACAGGGCATCAACAATGCAAATCGCTTTGCATCCCTCCAGCCCTGCAACACCGTGCTGAAGCACATAGTAGGCGGGGCTGTTGTCGCCAGGAAATGCACCTCGACAGGCTCTGTCCACACCTCCGTCGACACCCTCAAACTCAACAGGGGGGGCAGTGGTGAAGGCCGCGCTGGTTGTTACGGTTGTCGTCGATGCAGTGGTTGATGACAACCCAGGAGGTAGGCTGGTTGTTGACGTCGGCACTCTCTTGATCTGCCAAACATCGAAGTCCGCGTAGTCACGACACTTGCTGATCATCAGGCTCCTGCGAAGGAAGCACGGACTGCTTCCATCATCCCAGCCACTTCGCACGACTGCAGCTTGGCATGTAAGCGTCTTTTCACACTGTCGGCGGCAGCCGTCGACTGTGAAGGTACCATCTAGCGGCTCTGCCCCAGAGATCGGGAGGGCTCCATGATTCTCCCAGCAGTTCAACCCGACATGCAAGATCCATCCCGAGGAGCTGCCACTTAGGGGCGGGACGCTGATGGGGGAAGGACGCGGACTCGGCGGAGTCGGGCTTGGAGCTGGGCTCGGCATTGGACGTGGCGTAGTAATTGGTACCGGAGATGGCACGGTGCTTCCAGCACACTGCAAACGTCCACCCGAAATCACGTGCTGGTTGGAGGCTGTTTGAAAGTCACACACACCTCCGAACTCACCCATGTCGCAAATAAATCTTCGATTGTCGGACTCCTTCAGCGTGCACTGTCCTGCTGTCAGGAAGAAACTCAGAGAATGCAGGAATCAGCGACAATGTTTGAACACAACAGCTTAAGATGCCTCCAGCTGCATCTAGGATGATTGATGAATCCGATTCGAAGTACTCCCCCAGCACCGGGTCCGAGAATTCAATAATCATTTCGGAATCCCAGGAAGAGGCCAGTCTGTACGCCTGCTCCACAAGCACGAGGGCGCCATAACCTCTTCGAGCAGAATCAAATGGAATCTCTCCAGCGTTACCTGAGAGCCATCACGTTCTAACCTCTAGCTACACGTAATCCAGGCAGCACGAAAAGCAAAGCCGCTTGTGAAGCAAAGCAGTGAGGCCAGTCACTCAGAAAAATGCTACAAGCCGAGTAGACCCAACGAATACTGTACTGATCTAGCGAACGGAACGACTGGAAAGACTGGCCCTTGTTTGCACTTCATGAGCAGACCCAACTTTCGTGCTAGGTGGCATGGCAGCAAGCAAAGGAACTGCATCAGAGCAAAGAAATCTGTGAGATATGTTTTGGCTAGGATTCGGGTAGTCTACGAGGCATTGATCAGCAGCTGCGCTGTATGCTGACCATGTGGATGAAACAGTGTGCACATGTCCAGGGCAATCCTCCCTGTACACAAGTGACGATGAGGGCTTCTGTTGACGAGTGCATTCGGCATAGTGATAAAAACTGGAAATAACATGGGCACCGGAAACCGGAAATCCTTCACTCGCCAGACACCCTTTGCTCTTAGAATTGCCGTTCTTCTCTCAGAAGGAGCGTGATGACGCTTGATGACTGGTGCAGTGTTTCAGGTCACTCCCTCCCACTGTGACACTGTGGCTGTCACTGTCCTGCTCGTCTCTTGAATATCTCGTGTGGGTCATTGCCTCAAGCTTGAGCTCGGCAGCACTGAGTGCAGCTTGGTTCAACCCCAATGTCATGTGCACAAGTCCATCCACCATGATCTTGATGCACGCTTGGTTTTTGCTGCAGCCCTAGGCATCCTGAGGTTCAATGCTTGAGCGGCGGAGCTGAAGCAAATTCGCTGGATCCAGACAGTGCTTGGAACCGCAGCAGTCTGAAGCTGGAAATCCACAACAAAGACAGAAACATCGGTCGCATACCCTCGCTTCTTTACAGTGCAATCCTGCCGACTCTGTATGGGTGCATGGAACAAGCCTTGCCACTGTGCACCACGACATGTTGGGGTGCTGCGTCCAAGCTACGGCCTTCTGTCGGAAAGGTCCAGTCAGGCGTGCTTTCATACCCAGGTCCTTCAATCTGCAGCCTGGCTCCACCACCCCAGACATTCAGCCTTCGTATCATCCCGTTGCACCCGAGAGCCCCTGGCTGTGCCCACTTGGCATTCAAAGGCTGACAGCCGAGAGCACGAAAGCCATCCAAACGTGCACTTATGATGCTCCGAAACCCTCCCAGCGAAGCATCCTTCGTGAGGAACACCGGCAATACAGCAGCTTGAGACGCAGCAGTGTTTGCTCCGAAAGCCAAGCGTGGCTGTGGGGCCTGCATGCGCGAGAAGTCCACATCCTCCAGCACATACTGCACGTTGCATGGCCCAGCACCCCCCAGCAGACCACAGTGCTGCCCTGCTGCTAATGCTGCTATCCCAGGCGGGCTGCTCCCGATAAAGGCACAGTTCTTCATGCCAAAGGCGAAGGGGCCAGCAGGGCCCAAGAATTGGAGAACTCCGAAACTGTCGTCAGCATCGTTTGCAAATGTGGAATCCAACACGTGCCATGGTCGCTTGTCGACAAAGTTTTTGCCCTGCTTCCAATACATGGAATGCCCATTGTTGATGCTGGTGTAGTTTATGAACCTCAGCCCATCTGCCGAGGGACTAGACACAACATTTGAGTTTCGCGAGGGCTCAATGATGCATAAAAGCTGGTGGTGGTGATAACTTCAAGTCAAGGAGCTGGATGTCGCCAATGGCGTACTGGCCGACATATGTATTGTGCCAGTTCACCTCGTCACGAATCTCATTCACAACTCCATTGTCCTCGCCGCTGCGCGTGAACCATTTGCAGCTGTCTTTGTCGACGAGAAAGCCATCATCATCAATCTTGACTTTTCTTGGGTACTGGTGATCCAGGTAAAGCCCGAACCTGTTGCAATCATGGCATGTGTTGCCCCGCCAGTCCCCAAAGGGATAAAACTGTGGGCAGGTCCGGCCTGTGGCCAGGCCATGCCCCGTGCCTCGAAAAGAGCCAGGGGTCCAAATGCCATTCTCATAGCCGACAATACGATTCTCCAGTATGTGATTTGTCATGCCTATCATGAATATGCCAGCTGTTTGGACTGCCACCCCGCTGACCCAATCCACAGCACACCTTCTCAGATCTGTGCAAATTGCAACATTCTCACGAAGTGTGTTGTTCAGCTCATTGCCGTCCTCAATGTACAGGCCGTTTGCCTTGGCATCCCAGATGATGTTCTGATCAACGAGGGAGTTGTGAGTCCCATGCACCGTGATTCCGACATGCTCTCCATGAACCACTGCGTTTCCCTGGAAAACACACCGTGAACATTTCTTCATTAAGTGGAAGTGGAGACAGTAGCGACCCATGACGGGTCTTTGACCACAGCGCTCCACGCGAGTATATCTCATGTCCATGTAGCCAGAGCCAGATCCCCCGGCCTGTATGGTGTGGAGGCCTTCCTTGGACACTTCGATGTTCTGATGGTCACCAGTAATGAGGACAGAGCGCTCCAAGTTCACCACTTCTGCAGCAAGCTCAAATCGCTTGCCTCCGATCTCCTTGAACCCACCCCAATGCTGGTGCTTCACAGGCTCGTCAACCGTGAGCTGGTAGTTTGCGATCGCGTGAATCCTGTGAACTGTGGACTCACCTCGGCTGGTCGTCGCCAAACCTATACGGTCCCCCACCTGCCACCCCATGTCTCTGGCGTCGTGCTTCAGGTACAGCACCTTCTCGCCGGGCAGGGCTGTCTGGCTAAGAAGGGTCCACGTTCGCCCCATCCTTCGACCGTGGATCTCAATGCGACCCATGCCACCAAGGAAGCGCCGGCCGAGGTTTGGATGGCTGTGAGGGCCATCGGTGATGTACACAGTCGCTGGAAGATTCATCGGCGATGCCACCGTGCCAAGGACGAGATGGCCATCGTCCTCAACAAGAACGAAATTGGCACGAAGTTCGAGGTTTGCCTTGGTCTGATCCCACCTCAGAGTGCCATAGATAGTCAACGTCTCAACTTCCAACGACTCGTCCATGAACCATGTTTCACCAGCAGGAACTACACAATGGGCTTGCCCCTTGCAGGTAGATGCGGACATTGTTGATCTTGCATCTGCCCGGGCCTCTGAAACTTCAACACGGTGCTGCAATAGTTCGGGACCAGACGTACGACATGACGAGTCTGCACCAGCGAAGAGAATGCAGTTGCAGAAGATCCATGCAACCCACACGGTCATATCTGGCTAATCGTAGCAGCCCTCTGTGCACGTAAGCTGCGGGCATCAAGGTGAATCTTACATCACCAGTCTGCTACAAGTATCTAGTTCAGGGGCATCGCTGCCAGTGCCTCAAGGGAAGGTGGTTTCACCTCCAGTCCTCCAGGCACTCTCGAGAAAACTGCCGAGCAAGACGGACATCCGACAATTGCGCCTTCGGCTGGCAGTGCATCATCTGTCTCAGGCACAGCACGTGGCCTGAAGCGACCAAATTGCAACTCAGACAGCAAGTCTGGTCCGCAACTCCGCCAGGGTGTTGAATCAGAAGCCGTCGAGAAGCTCACCACAGCTTGTGCAGAGCTGAGGGTTTTGCTTTGGTGCTGCCGCTAGAGATGGAAAGAGAGCCTTCGTTGTCATCACGTCATTACATCTCAGCTGGTCTATCACCCGTGACCCCTCAAGGTCTACCTCTATCACTGGGCGATCCCGTGGAAAAACATGGAGACCATCGTGAAGTGGCGGTTGAGCTAGGCTGAGCAGCTCCGGTCCTCATCGTTTACATCCTGCTCGAAGGCCTTGATCTGCTGCCTGACAAGCTGTAACAAGCATGGCACACCAAGGACTAAGGGCCTAATGGTCATCCAGATCTGCACAAAAGTTCAGGTACGGTGTGTAAACGACTTGCACCCAGATCGGACTTTCAGCTCCGCCTGGCAGCGGCAATCCGACCTTGCGAGCAGGCAGGGACAGTGGATGGAAACGAGATGGAGGGATGATGGAAAGAGGAGCAAGGGCAGGAGGATTGGAAGGAATCACAGGACTGGGGCTCTCAGGCCTTCAGCCAGTGCGTCGTCACCGACGCTCTCGTCCTGCACTTCGATTCCAAGCGGCAGGCAGGGGGCCCTCCCCAAAGCTCTCGAAGCCATCGTCCTAGGGCCTTTAACGGGGCCCTGGCAGGCCTCGCAGAGGGTCAAAAGGGAGCTCAGTTCTGCGGAAGCCTCGCAAGTTGCCGCGAAAAGAGCAACGAGAACTTGCTCGGCTAGGCCCCTAGACCCCCCTTGAGGCCACGGCGGCTTCAAAACGGCGCTTGATTTCAGCAGCCTTCAGGTACCTTAACACTGGCAACCAGCTGCAGCCGCTCTACCAGCGTTGCTATGATTGAGGGCAACAGCAGATTCCTTTCTCTGCCGTTCGGTGCAGTTGCTTGACCCAGCGAGTGCATCGTGACACCACGGGATTGAAGTGTCGGCAACGGCGAAAACACTTGAAAATACCTGGAGCCCTGAGGAAAAACATCCAGGGGGCCAGGGGGTGGTCGCCCTTTGCGGGCATCCAAGTTGCTGCCGGAACTCATGTGCCAAGGTACTGTTCTTCAGCAATGGCACGCTGCTTTAACCTTAGTGGTGGCCGAACTCCACCAGGACTGCAACTCACTGAACACCCAGACTCATCTGTGGGTTCTGTGAGCTGCCACAACGCCGTCAATACGCCTAGGCCGGAACCGCTGCAGCTCCTCGCACTCGGAGCGCACCGCCTCGAGTAGCACACGGCGACTTCCATGGCTAAGAACCTTCTCAGTTTTCATCGTGGGCCTCAATCTGCTGCTCGAGCTGCCTCTCAGAGCCTTCTGCCAGCGGGCGGAGACGCCTCGAAAGACTCAACGCAACTTCACGAAGATCAACTGCAAAGACTAGCTGTAGTTTTAAGCCTCACACACAGTTAGATCATCGTCGGGAGAAGGCACGGCCTCGAAAACCTCGGACAACGCCACTACTTTGCACCACTGCCGCTGATTGCAAAAATAGCACAGCAACTTGGAACATGTTGACTTCGCCGAGGCACATCCCAATTCTTCGCCAGCCAGGCTTTGTTGATGCAAGTCAAGTTCTCTTTGGCCAAAAGCCTGCCAAAAGCATTGCGATACCGAACCCATGCCTTAGTTGAAGGGATCAGCAGAGAGTCTCCGTCCATAGCAGCAGTGAAAACCCGCATGTTTCGTCATGTTAATTCTGCCATAAAAAGGTCTTCTCTCTCTTTAGCTGAGGGCTTCGGATACGTGGAATTTGGGTGGAATTACGCAGAAACCCTAAAACGGAAACCCTAAAATAGAAATCCTAAAACAGAAACCCTAAAACACAAACCCTAAAACGGAAACCTTAAAGCAGAAACCTTAAAACAGAAACCCTAAAACAGAAACCCTAAGCAAAAACTTTAAAACTGATGCCCTAAAACAAAAACCCTGAAACAGAAACCCGAAAGCATAAACCCTAACACGAAAAACCCTAGAACACAAACGTTAAAACAGCAACCCTAAAACAGCAACCCTAAAACAGAAACCTTAAAACAGAAACCCTAAAGCAGAAACCCT